AAGCACGAGTTCCTCGACGGAGGGGCCGACGACGTCACGCTGGCCACCCTGGGCAAGGTGCTGCTGGAGCCCGCGCTCACCACGCTTGGAAATTTTCTGGTGCGCTCCAACAGCCAGAGCTCCGTGGCCTTGGCCAGCTTCGCGGTGGGAGGGCTACGCCATGACCCTGAGCGCCTTCGCCTGGAACATCGTCCGCACCTACACGCTGACGCCGGGGCCTTCGGCTGCCGGTACTGGCTGGGCGCACTTGGTGATGTACGTCAGCGCGGCCGACAACGACTACGTGGGCGTCACCGGCACCTTCCTCGGCACGCCCTCGCAGGGTGTCTGGAGCACGGCGCGCCTGGACTTCTCGGCGCCGCCGGGCGGAATCGCGAAGCTGCACTTCGGAGCCTTCGGCGGGTCTATCCCCGGGCTGGTGCAGCAGTCGGCGGGCACGCTGGACCTGTACAGCGTGCAGATCAGGGCCTCAGCCTTCGAGGGAGAGTCGGTCTCCGTGACGGACCTGCTGGCGGACTCGCTGGCCCTCACGGGCTCGGCCACGCTGGACGGGCTCACTGCGCAGGGCAACGTGGGCTGCGACCAGCTGCTGTGCAACGACGTGAACTGCACGGACGTGTTCACGACGGGCGTGGACGCCTCGGGCGCAGTCTCCTGCGCAGCGCTCACAGCCACAGGCACCGTCGCCGGAGCCACGCTGTCGTCCACAGGCGCCGTGTCAGGCAGCTCGCTGAGCATCACGGGCGCGGCCAGCGTGGGCCTGCTGAGCTCAGCCACCAGGAATCACGGGCAGCACGTTGACCATCAACAACACGGCCAACGCCGGGAACTTCACCACGGTGGGCGACGTGTCCACGGGGACATTGACGGCCTCGGGCGCAGCAACCGCGGCGAGCTTCGCGGCCACCGGGGCGCTCACGGGCGCCACGCTGACCATCGCCGGGGCGGCCTCCGCGGGCCCGCTGGACTGCGAGAGCCTGGACTGCACCTTCACGGCCACGAGCGGCGGAGTGTCGACGGGCAGCGTGGTGTGCGGCGACGTGACGAGCTCGGGCACGGTCTCCGCGCCGCAGCTCTTCGCGTCCAACACGCTCACCGTGACCCACACCTCCGACTTCTCGGACGATCTCTTCCTGACGAAGAACTGGGCGGGCTGGAGCAAGCTGCAAGTGTCCAACAACAGCGCGGCCCCCGACAGCGGCCCGGAGCTGCGGCTGCTGGGCAACCAGAGCGCGCGGGTCTTCCTGGAGCGGGACGGCGGGGCGCACCAGTGCGAGCTCATCATGATCAACGACGAGGCGCTGGCGCAGACGAAGAGCCTCTCGACGCAGCTGTCCTTGACCACGAACCAGAGGAACCCCGGCTGCCTCGTGATCGCAGGCAACACGGGCAACGTGGTCTGCAACACGAGCTTCACGAATTTGTCGGACAGCCGGGTGAAGACGGAGATGGCTGAGGCCGACGTGGCAGAGCTCCAGCAGCTCTTTGACTCCGTGGAGGCCAAGCAGTACAAGCGCCCGGACATGAACGAGGACCTGAGGCTGGGCTTCGCCTCAAACGACTTCGCAGGAACAAAGTGGAAGAATTTGACGGGCACTGCTCGGTGGAGCGACGGCACGGAGATGGTTACTCTCGACTACTCTCACCTCACCAGCGTACTCTGGGGGGTGCGCAAGGGCTTCCAGGCCCGGCTGGACGAGGTGGAAGCCTGGCAGGCCCAGCAGGGGCCGAAGAACGAGTAGAAAAAAAAACGGAGAGGAACCTTGCTCAAGCTCCTTTTTGGGGCAACAAGTAGGCATGTTCAGGCCTCCCTGCGTCCAGGGACGCTAGAGCAAGCTCCTTTTTGGGGCAACAAGTAGGAAAAAAAAAGCTGTGTGCAGGCTTCCCTGCGTCCAGGGAACCTTGCTCAAGCTCCTTTTTGGGGCAGCAAAGTTGTTTTTTAAATGGAGGCGCTGAGGGACCTGGCCGACGACTTCAACGCGCGGGACCCGCGGAAGCTGTACCGACTTGCGAGGCAGCGCGACCTCGACGTGACGCAGGCCATGGCCTTCGAGGCGCTGAAGGCCGACGTGGGCCGGCAGGTGCAGGCGCCCCGGCCGCGCGCGCTGGGCAAGTCGGCCGCCGAGGGGCCGAACGACCGGCTGCAGGCCGACCTCATCGACTTCAGCCAGAACACGCGGGGGAAGACGAAGTACGGCCTGGTGGTGATGGACGTCTTCACCCGGGAGGCCGCCGTGGAACCTCTGCAGAACAAGAACGCCGAGACGGTGGGCCGGGCCACCAAGCGCGCCGCGCGGGAGCTGACGGGGGACGACGGGAACTTCGTGGTCACGACAGACCTGGCAACGAGTTCGCCACGCTGGACTGGGAGCTGCCCGCGGAAGCCGTGCACCGAACGAAGCGCCCGGAGGACCGCAACGCCACGGCCGTGGTGGACCGGGGAATCCAGACGCTGAAGAAGGACCTGGCCACGAGGGTGGCGCGCAAGGGCGGGCAGTGGAGCGACCACTTCGAGCGGGCGGCCGGGGCCTACAACGCGCGGCCCCACGAGACGGCGCACGGCGCGCCCGAGGACGTGGAGAAGCAGCAGCCGGCCACAGAGTTCAGGGTCCTCCAAGACAACGCCGACAAATTCCAGCACAACAAGGACCTGAACGACCGGCGCGTGAAGGCGGTGGAGGAGGCGCCTTCCGAGCGCCGACGAACGCGGCGAGGAGCTTCAACCCTCAGTACGGCGACGTGCAGCAGCTGGGGGCCGTGGACTCCATGACCGTCCGCAGCACGGAGGGCCGGGAGACCCTGCTGAAGCTGGCGCTGCCGGCGCCGCAGGGCAGCGGCAACGCGGCGGGCCGACTGACGAGACGGGGCAGGCCGGCGGCTGTCTGCATCTGCTGCATACGGAGCGGTCGTAAGGAGGGCCAACGCAGTGTGCAGGCTGCACAAGGAAGGCGATGGGTTGCAAACAAGACCAAGGCTTTACAGAAGACACTTATTAAACAGGAAAATGAAAAGAGCGCACTGCGCGGCCCTCCTGAAGCTGAGTTGTGCGATCAGGCACAGGGCAAGGCATCAGTACATGGCGACATTGGGCTGCATGGATTCATAGCACCGGCTGCAATAGTGCGAAGTGTGCGTATCCTCGCACAGGGGGATCCTGTCGTTGATGATGCGGCCGCAGGCTGAGTGGAAAGGGCAGGGCGATGACGCACAAGGCAGTGCGCAGCACACTCGGGATTGGTCGTCCAGGTACCACGCTTTGGCGACTCCCCCTACTCGCGCAGCCTTCATAGTGCAGGGCAGTCGCATAGCAGGAATTTGTGCACACTGCTCCAGTTGGGCGATAGCGCGTGTGTTCTCCTGCGGCTGGGAGGGCTTTGGCCAGGGCTGCGCGGGCTTGCGGTAAGACTGCCGTTCATTGCGTTTCCAGCAGGAGTCAATGCTGAAGGCGTGATGTTCTTCGTCAATGCGCGTGGCACACGTGGGGGGGCTGCTGAAAGGCAGGTCATAGAAGTTCATCCACCAGCTGCCGTCCCACGCGTACAGAGGCGTGTCCGTTGCAAGGCCCAAGTACTGCAGATCAGGCCTGGGCTCATGGAACCCGGATGAAGGCTGCGGGGGCCAGTCGCAAGGCGGGCTCAGGGCTGCCTTGGGCGGGGGCCCGGGCGGAGGCCTCTGTGGCTCCGAAGGCAATGGTCTTGGCTTGGGTGCAGCCTTGGGAGCCACCTCTTGCTTAGCCGGCAGGGCATCGTCTGGCAAGTCCGGAGCGTTGGGCCAATTCGGAGCTGACGGCGAAGGGCGAGGCTTTGGTACCTCGGTTGAGGCAGTCTCTGGATTTGCCGGCAGTGCGTCTCGAGAAGTCACTGGTGCGGGCGCTGAGTCTGCCGGCGGGGCCTCGGGAGGCAGCTCGGGCGCGAGCTGGTCGGCCCAAGGCTTTTCATTTTTGCTGCAGGGCTGATACAAAAAATTTTCGAGAGGCACCAAGGGCGGCTCTTCAGCGCAAGGCTCTGGAAGGTCTTGAGTGGACGCCCCTTCAGGCGGCAAAGTTGAAGACTCATCCGTGGGAAGGGCGGCTTCTGGCAAAGGCGACGAGGATCTCGAGGCCGTCCGCTCACGCAGGGCTGTAAGCATGGCGGTCAAGGCTGCTTGGTTCTCTTCTGTCATGCTGGAGACAATGCCCATCAGGTCTGGCACTGAAGAGGGCACCTGGTCCGACATGCGTAAGGCAAGTGAATGGGGCCGAGCAGGAGCGTGGCGCGTTGCACACTGCTGAAATGGCTACAAACACAAGGCAGTGGTAGCAAACCGGATGCGCAAACAAAGCAGCTAGTCGGGGCACTTGATGACAAGGCTGTTGTCTTGCCCAACTTGCCATTCTTTTTTTACGGGGCCAGTTTTTTTTGCTCGGCCGCGCGCAGTCTCGGGCATCTGTGCAGATGGTCGGAAGCTTGTTTCGCACGGTTTTGCGCTGAAAAAATGCTATTAGTCTCGTCCGTATGTCTAAATACGGACAAGACTAAGAGCTCGTTTTGCACGATTTTTTTGCATGGCATGACATTTGCTTGATTTTGGCATGACATGATTTTGCATGATTTTTTGCGTGGCGTCACGTGTCTTGTCGAAACATGTTCTGGCGCAGATCTTGGTGGCGAGCAATCCGATGAGAACTTTGAAGGTTGAAGTGGAGAAGGGATTCCATGCGAATATTTCAAACACTTGTTTGTTGCAGCGCGTCGGCCCAGATCAGACAGCAACAGCATCAGCAGCATCGGCAACCCTCGGCTCGGCAACCCTCGGCTCGGCAACCCTCGGCTCGGCAACCCCTCGGCCCAGATCAGACAGCAACAGCATCAGCAGCATCGGCAACCCTCGGCTCGGCAACCCCTCGGCTCGGCAACCCCTCGGCTCGTCGGCAACCCCTCGGCTCTGCAACCCCTCGGCTCGGCTTGGAGACAGCAGCAACAGCATCAGCAGCACCAGCAGCAACATCAGCAGCAACGTCAGCAGCACTAGCTCGGCAAGCGGGCGACACAATGTCGTCCGGGCAATGGTGGGACGATAGCTGGCGTGCTCCGAGGCCAGCGTGTTTTTTTTTGTCTTTGTCGGCGCCATTCATGACCTAGGCGTGGCCCTGCGTGGGATCGGCGGCAGGAGGGCTTCCAGAGGCGTCAGGACGAGCGGATGGAGCAGGCCCCCTTGTTTGTTTTGGTCCCTCACATCATTCGATTTTTTTCCAGGTGCGCCAGATCGCGTCCCTCACCGAGCAGGTGAAGAACGAGACTGCCCGCGCGGTGCGTGCTGAGCAGAAAGTGGAGGCGTTTCGCAACCAGGTGGCGCAGCAGAACGCGGACATCCACGCGATGGCCACCGAGCTGACGGTGGGGAGGCTCAAGATCGCGGAGCTGCAGAAGGAGCTCGACAAGGCGCATGCGTTGTTTACGGGCTTCAGACTGTGTTTTTTTTCTGTGGAAGGCAAACACGCCGAAGAGGGCGCGGAAGGAGCTCGACAAGGTGCCTCAGGTGCGTTCGTGACCCACTCCTCTGTTTTTTTCTTTTCTTTCGCAGGCGGACACCTCGAAGAAGACGCGGAAGGAGAAGTAGACCTAGGCCTGTCGCGGCCCCATTTGCCTTCGAGTTGCATCAAACCCTCACTTGTGCGTCGATGTCATCCATTCTGTTACAGCTGTGTTCCTGCTCACCCGGTCATACGGTCATACGAATCCCCCTGGGCGTCGCCGCCAAGGCGCAAGTTGCACGGATCGCACGGTTCAGACACATGTGATGGTCGGGGCTCGAAGCGGGGGCTTAGTGCCAGGACAATGAGCCACGCAACCGGAGGGAAGCGTCGACGCCGGGCTGCGTCCCGGGGTGATGGTGGCAGGCGGAAAGGGGGTCTTGTCCGTGCGATTTCGTATGATTCACGCGTCCTGATAGGAACGTTGCGGAGCCAGCGGAGCCGGCGGAGCCCGGGTCGGCCGTGGTTCTCACGGCGCCGCGCATCAACATGCCCTTCGTCAAGGAGCTGCTGGGCGTGCAGGACACGTGGCAGTTGCCACTGAAAAACCTGACTCTCTCAGACCACCTGGAGTTGCTGGACGAACAGCCAGAGGCCCGCTACCACGAATCCAAGCTGGCAAAAAGCCTGGGCCTCTGCTTGCGGCTTATCGGCTCCATGGGCAGCTTCCCGGTCTACAGCATGCCCAGGGCGGTCAGGTGGGCTGCGTTCTGCGGCATGGACCTCTGGGAGTGCGACATGCCGGCGTCCCATTGCCAAGCCATGCTGGGGTATGCACTGGACCACTCCATCGCCCCGGGACCGCTGGAGGCGTTTGCGTCCACCGAGCAGATCGTCGCTTTCCGGCAGAGCATGCCACCACTCCATCCGAAGGACATCGAGCAAGCGACGAACTTGCTCGCCTACGGCAACGGCCTGGTCGAGTGGATGAAGGCGCATGGGATCGTCACGCTACCGGGACCGCTGGCCGACCTCAAGCGGGTTATGACGTGCGTGCGTGAGCACGTCTGGCATCACATGCCCGAGGGCTGGAAAAAGGAGCTGAAGGCCACGAGGCGACGACCAATCCTCGCGGCCTTGTCTCTGAAACGCGCCTCGTCGGGATGCGCGATTTTCTTTTTTTTTGCGGGGGAGCAAAGGTCAGCGCCGGGAGCGGCAGAAGCTGGACGCGGCGGCTGAGCTGCTTCCCGCCGGCTGTGTCGTTCACGGTTACCTCAAAGACTCGTTCCTGTTCTCATCGAGCGACGGAGGCTTCTCCGCAGAGGCGACCGTTCGGCATCTGCAGAGTCGAGGACTTTTCTTCGTGAAGCCGATGCCGGCCAACGACTCGGAGTATTTTGAGGCCTTGCAGGGCATCGGCATGAGGCACAGCCGGCTGACGCTCGCCGCGCGTCAGAAGGTGCGCCTGGACGCAACGGCCACGGTGCGGAAGGATGAGGAGAAGGGGCCGACCCCCCGCCTGGACTTGGCGATCTCCGTCGAGCACCGCGCGCCCGTGAGATGGGACCACCAGCAGGACCACATGGAGATCTACAACGCAACGGACGGCGTGTGGTCCACGGGCAAGTGCGACGGGGCCTGCAAAGGGGGAGATGCTGGCGCGGGCACTGATCGCCACCTACGGTGCCAGGACGTGGCGCCCCGACCCGGACAGCGGGAAGTGGCGACTGCAGGCGAGGGACTGCTCTTCCATACGGCCCCGATTCTCTCCTCGGTGGGCGCGATGCTGAGCAAGCTGGACAACGGCGACTGCATGCCGCCGCTGGACCAGGAGCGCCATCACCACTTCCAGATCCACTTCAAGGGTGGGGACAAGCTGAGCTTCCTCGCCCACCCGCCTCCTCTGCAAGACTTTTTGGACGACGACGAAGCTCTCCAGAGGGCCATGGAGCTGCCGATGGCGCGGACCGGGACGGCCGACCGCAACACAAGGTCCGTCCCGGAACTGGCGTAGCAGCATCCGGATAGGCTCCGCTTGGCTCGGGCCATTCTGAAGGCCATGGCCTGGTTGACGGAGGGCGGCGACTGTCGGGATGGCGTCATGGTCCTCCCCGAGGACATTGTCGAGGAGCTGGAAGCGGCGTCCATGGGGCACGCAATGTGGCGCAGCATCTTTCGCGACCCGCACGGCGGCGACTGGAACGTGGCGCTGTTTGAAGCCAGGCTCATCTTCGAGAGCGTGGTGGGCAAGGCCGCGAAGAAGATCGAGTTTGCGACGCTCAAGGACAACGGAGACGGCTCGACGGGCAAGGGAACCTTGAGGGAACTCTGCGAGAAGGCGCTCGGCGTGCACAACGGCGGGGTGGAGCGCGGGTACTGCGCAGTTCTTTGCCAGGAGGCCCTCACTGTCGGGAAACAGGAGCGGCCCCGCGAACAGTTCGCAAACCTACAGGGCAGCAGGTTCGCGTGGGTCGACGACTTCGCGCCGAATCAGCCTCTGTGCAGTGCTGTTTTGCGGCAGATCTCCGGAGGGAACACCTTGACGGCTGCGCGGGAAGGGCCGGGGAGAGAACATTTTCAGCTTCCACGGACTCTTGCTGCTCTGCACCAACGGCGTGTGGCAGGCCGATGCCGAGTTCTTTGGCTCCGACAGGAGACGCATCACGGGCGTCAAGTTCGAGCACAACTTTGTGGGCAACCCGACACGCCCCCACGAGCTCCTGAAGGACAACAGCGTCAAGCAGAACATCCCTGAGATGTTCGCGGAGTTCTGGTGGGTGGCGCGAGTATTCTGGCTGGCGCCGCATCCCGGGGGAAGCAGCGACAACACCATCCCAATCCCCGCGAGCTCAATCTCTCTGAAACAGGACATCACGGAGAGGACTGCCCAGAGCACTGCTCAACCATCCAGCATGCCAGAGGCCTCGGAGCTAGTGCGGCGCTACCTGCAGCCCTACGTCCTCTCCGAGACAAGGCCCGCCACGTCCCAGGAGGTCGACTCGTACATCGCCGACCAGCTGTGTGTGAGCCCCACTGCGGTGAGGGCGTTCAAGAAGATCTTGATGTGGAGGGAGGGGGAGGTCATCCCCCGATTCGGAGCCCGGACCAGGACCTCCACGCGGGTCTACGTGAGGCCGTCGCCGCGCCAAATCATGACGCGTCGGCGTAGCTTCTCAACTTCTGTGCAGGGGGTATGTGCAAAGAGTGCCCCGTGTGCGGGCCAGTATCAAATCCCAAACGTGTTTCTGAGCAGGTCCTCAGAAAAAAATCCGACACCTCTCCAACTGACTGTGATCGGGCCTCCAAGCACTTGCCCGGGCATGCCTGGGAGACTGAGCCGTGAGAAAGGAAAATGCATGGTGTATGATCCGTATGATCCGTATGATCCGTATGATCCGTATGATCCGTATGACTGTATGACTCAGCTGAGGCTTCAATACCAGGCTTGCCAAGTCATACGGATCATACGGATCATACGGATCATACGGTCATACGGTCACACGGCCTGGCACTCCGAAAAAGCACGTGCTCAAAGACGGAGTGCTTTTGGGTTTTTTGGGCCGCTTCCAACGAAAAAACAGTGTCCAGGGCGGGTCCCTGCCTGGCACAGGCCGAGGGATCATACGCGCCGTTTGGTGCTGAAGCGCTACCGGCAACACGCAAGCTTGTAAAAAAAAAGCAAAAACGTTTCAAAATCAATCAACTGGGCAGGATT